TTAATCTAAGGGTAGTCTGAGAAAGTGTCGAGGAAACTCATCACAAAGTATCCAATCACTACATCCATTAGTGTGTCAATCTTGAGCAATAGATAGGTGTTCCTTTGAGGAAGATGCATTATGGTTTGTGAAGTCGACACACATTCTCCACTTGCTGCTAGCCTTCCGAACCATCACCACATTCAAGAGCAAAGTTTGGTACTGAACCTCTCATGTATATATAGCTTCTACAACTACGCTGCTATTAGCTAGGACAAAGTTCTAGCGGTTGTTCAGATCTTCTGTTGCACCGGTCAAGCTGTATGGGTGATGTTCAGTTAATGACAAACAACATTGAATAAAATCCCAAGCTTCTCCAACACTATCCAGGCGAATACGTTCTGATGCTCATGAAAGGTCTAGATCAATAAATTCCTATACCATGAATTAAAGCTTTCACAAGTTTGGAAAATTTTATTAAACTCATCATTGTCGAATGAAGGTACTTCAAGGATGGTCTCATTGGTCTTGAGACCCCGTTCCTTTTATATCTGAATATCGAGTGACTTTCCCTCCATGTTAATGATCACTCAAAGGCAACAACTCTTCAACTACTCTAAGTTCCCTTAGATTGTAATGATCTCCCTATTTATAAGAAAATTTACAGCCACATGAAAGGTTAAAGTCATTGTTTTATAATTTTTTAGCAACGGTTGGCCGAAAAAAAGCATTGTTAGTTGGTGGAGACTCCACTACCAGAAAATCTTTTGTGTTGGTGTCTAGCACACCTAGAGCAATAACACCCTCCTTTCTCTTGCCAGTGAAACCACATAATGGACCAGCGGTGCAACCAATCAGTCAGCTTTGAGCCCAATCTTGTCGAAAACAGCTTTAAAAAGGATGTTCACCAAACTTTCAATATCAACCAAGATACTACACTTGGTAGTTGTCAATCAACACAGTAATGACAATCACATCAATATACAGGTTCCCCTTCAGTGGAAGATCTGCATCTGTAAAAATTATAGGGAGGTGGTTATGCTTGTAAGAAGCGGCAGAACATACCACCCTAGATTGAAGCCTCTTATGACAGATCGACGGGACACTCTCCACGTCCCCTAAAGATAGCTGGAATGATTCTAGCTATGTGCACCACGTTTATTTGGGCAGGTCCATTGGATGACTTCTTGACTAGATCCTTTCCCTGCTACCAGTATAGTAACATACTCCTTAAGCTTTATTGCCTTGATCAACTCCTTTACCATGTTTCGGAGATGGCGACACTCCTTTGTATTGTGCTTATGATCATGATGGTAATCGTAAAACATGTTCAGATTCAAGAAGGACGGTTTGACTTTCATCGAAGGAGCTTTTCTAAATTACTCCTTATTTTTAATGGCTTCAACCAACTCTGTCATCCAAAAATTCAGTGGAGTGAAGCTCAACATCTCTCGATACACGTGTGGCCACTCGTAGTACTAAGATAGACGCTGGTTAAAATTTTGACTCTGACCTTGGTTTCCCTTGCTGTTTTCTTGATTTTCTTAGGGTTGTTGGTTGTTTTTATAGCTTGGACAATCGGAGGGCTTTATGTTATCATTCATCCTCTTTCCTTCATCCCGCGCCTTCCTCCTCTTTGAATGATGATCAAATGATTATGTTTTGACATTAGAGGGGACAGTAGCCTTCTATGCAACAATTTGACAGTTGGTCACCTTTAATAGTCTGGGGAAAGTCTTAGGTTCGAGCAAGTTCAAGTCATACTTGAATCGTCCGTATCTAACTCCTTGCGTCAGAGTAGTCAAAGCAGTTAGAGGTTGCAAGTCCTTTACCTCTAGCATCTCTTTCTGGAATTGAGTGATTTAAGAATGCAAACTTTCGTTCGCTCCTTATTTTATTTAAAGCAGAGTCTGAGACTTCTTCATATGCCTTTGTACATTGGCAAAGTGCGCCACAAAGAGTTTCTTGAACTCAGAAAATGTTGAAATAATACCAATTGACAGATAGAGAAACCACCAAAGAGCTAACTCCTTCGATTTCATTTGGAATAGCCGACACTTCTTCACATTGCTTATATGCAGCACTTCGACCAATGATTTGAAGTCAAATGATCAAGCAGATCCTTATTCCCCTTATATGGATCCAAATGAGGAATACTCATCTTCTCTGGTGGTACCACCTCCACGATCTGTAGGGTGAGAGCATTATCTAGTGGCGACAGAATAGGTGATTTGAAACGTTCGACCTGATGCCTAACCATCGACGTAGACCCGGTGTCATCCATGTGTTGGGAACCTCCTTGTCCTTCGACCTCCTGAGCACTCACTCGACAATTGGGCTCTGACTGATTCTCAAGTGAAACCCCTTGAGATCGAGCTCCTCGAGATTCCATCTCAATAAGTAGAGATTAATCATTCCTTCAAAAAAGTACTTCTCGAGGGGCCTCAAATTGACCCATCAACCGCTCCCAAAATTACTAGACTTACTGTTGAATCTCCTGATTCATCGACTCCCTATTGAATTCCATCGACACTGCGTCTCTTTGCTGTGATTCTCCTTTATACTGTCCTTGACTTCTCGTTTGTGGCATGTTTATGCTACCCGCACCACTTTTTAGGAAGTTGAATCCTATATTGTCATTCGAAACAGACACCCCGAGAGCTAGAGCTAGAAGGAGAGAAAAGAGACACAGCAGACAGGGAGTCAAAAGTTCTTTTATTCACATTTTGATCTCCTATTTATAATGGTCTAAAAATTACAGTTACCAAGAGAGTGAATAGTTATACTGATTGCCCAAATAATTGAATCGACGTGTCTATCGAGTAAAAAATACACTTATTATATAATTAAAACATAATGTTTCATCGATCGTCGTACGCTTACTGGTTGGTCGATTATGGCAATCGATTACATGATAGATCATTCTTGCCGATGGAATCGGCCTATCAATCATATGCTTTCATTAGATTTTGGTGAGAGGTTAGTCGGTCGACAGATCTATCAGCTAGGTACACCAACTAGGTCTGTCAGTTGATAATGCGTCGGTCGATCCCACTGAGCAGCCGGTCGACTGCTTGGCCAATCCGGATCACGCCTTTTGGCTTCGAACTTCGATCATTTGAGGCTCCATCCTAGTCATTTGATCTCTTGAAGCTTCGTGTTGATATTTTTCCCATAAACACTATTATTTTCCTGCGATCTTGTAGAACCTTTTTGTATAAGAAACTACATTTTACAATTAGATCCATTAAATTTTAAGAACTATAAGAAATTTGCTATCTAGTTTTTTTCAAATTAAAATATGTTTATAAAACAAATGATAACTTCAAAAAAATTAATTTTATCAAAACAATTCTAATGATAGTGGTGTGTTTTAAAAAAATAATATCATCACAATAATTGTTCAACAACCATTATAAAAAGCTGCATCTTATTTGTAGGTGAATAAAAAATATTCAATTTTTTTATAAAAATTTTATGGAAGATATTTTGAAAATTAATTTTGCATTATTTTTATTGTTGCCTAAGATTTCTTTTGTTTGCCATCTCGTATTGCAAAGTAGAATTTATGAGTGCATTCAAAACATAATAAAATTTGCCATCCATCCATTAATTTAATCAACTAGTCTAACATTTGGGTCCTTTTTTTCTCCTTTATACAATTTGTGCCTTTTTTATTTTCTCTACATCTTCATTGTATATTGTTGAATCCTGAATTATTCATGAAACATACAGTTCAAGGGAATAGAGCACAAGGAGAGTGAGAAGGGGAGAAACAGGGGAGGAGTGCTGGATACTTGCCTTCTTGGAGCTAATGTCTCTTCCCGAGTCTCTTATGGAACTTTTTTACATTTATTTGTCTCACACCATAATTTTGATTTTTAAACCTCAATCACCTTCTCCTATGTATGAAAGGGAAACTAGTATAATCCACCTTTTCATACATGGGTTAAGGTGTATAGGATGTAAAAATTAAAGCTTATGTGTGAGAAAAGCAAATGCATAAGATTTGGGTGCTCTATGTATGTAAATTTTCATTTTTTATTTTATCAAAAGTTTTTTATTCTCTTTGTACATAAAATGATCTTCTTATTTATAAGAGGTTGACTATTATCTAGTGATATTAGATATTTTTACTTTATTGAGGTCGTTTCAGGATATTCTTGGCATTTTACAAGTGCAACGAATTTAGTCAGCCTTGACTGCCATGATTCGTTTAAATGTACTCAGTTGGCTTTGTGTGCCTTGGTTCATTTGAATGTATCTAGTCGGCTTTGTAGATCTTGGGTTGTCTGAATGTATCTGATTGGTTTAGCGAAACTTGATTTGTCTGAATGTATCTTGTCATATTTGTAAGCCTTCAGGTCTTCTGCTGGTAGACCCTTCTTTGTCATTCTCATCTCTTCTAGACGGTCGGATCTCTTCAAGATGAGCAAGACCATACTTTTGATATTCATTTAAGCTATTTTATTTGAAAATTTGAGCCGTAATGATGACAAAATTATAAATTAGTGATTACATTGACCTTATGGTTCAAATTTGGATCTCTTAGTTTAAGAAAGATCTAGTACTTCATTCGCCCAGTTTAAGCTAACAGATTTTACTTATTTCCCAACAGAGTTCTTGCGAAATGAAAGCCAAAATAACTTCCTGAAACCATGATTGGAACCTTTGCCACTTGTCATAAAATCAGACCACAAGAAACTTTGAAAAGCTTCATCAAGTTATTGGCTTAAATGGTTATTTTTGGAAGTGGAGAAGTTCAGTTTTGCTTGAACATTTTCAATATGAATAGAGGATAAGCATCTAAGTTATTTAATCGATGACTGATGGAATATTCCAAAGCTGTCATGGAATAATTTGACTTCTATGTAGATTTTTTTCATTCCTTCCTTCTTCTACATCCTCTTTTAAACCGGCCTTTTACATGTTTTAATTATTCCAATTATTTTGGATGAAAGAGAACCCTTCAATACTTAAAAAACAGGACAGTTAGACCAGATTCATTGATTCAAAACCTATAAATTATTATCCACAGCAAATATCTTTGAAAAAGAAACAGATAATTTAAAGGGAATAAGAAATTAAAATAAACTATAATTAGAAAATACATAGCATGATTAATCATGCAAATCCCACCCTCCAATTTCCAGCTCAACTTTTCCTTGGGGCACAACTGAAGCAGCTAAACAATTTTCCATCCATTTTTCCTCTCAAAATCCTTGCACAAGTCCTTTTCATTAAGTATGTGAGAGACTCATAAAATGAGCAATTTGCTCTTTAATCAACGTCCATCTTGTTTTTTAAGGTTCCTGGAAGAAATTTATGTTCACTGCAATCCCAATTGAGAATTCAGCTGCAGTTGCTGGTTGAAGAAAGGTTGAGAGATGTCAAACTGGTTGTTAAATTGGGCAAAAATGCTGAAATTCCTCAGCTTCTTCGAATGATTCAGTTGACCTCCACAATCCTCAAAATAGCAATTATCCGCCGTTTTTTGTCGCTTCAGGCTTTGTTCTGCAGCCAATACTGAAGCTTGCGATTGATTTGGTTGCGTGCCGTAGCAGCCGCCATTGCTGTTGCCCATATCGTTTACGAATGAATGGTTCAAAATCGAGTTAGAAAAGGGATCATCATTGGTTAACGGCACATTCATGGGTGTTTCCAGCAACCCTGATAACAGAGAGAAATCAGCATCCTCGACCAGGAACTCAGAAACAGAGAAAGACTTGTGAATCTTGTTCGAGTTTGCGAATTTCATGGTTCCTGCATCGTCGTCTTGCTCGCGATCAACCGAAGAATGATGTCTGGTTTTCTGATAGATTCGGCAGAGAACCCAGTCATCCAGCTACATATAAAATCAGAACAAAGTTAGCTCATTTATGATACAGAGCAAACAGAACAGCAATAAAAAAGCTAAATTTCTGCTCTCTTACTCTCATAGATCCTTCTCTAAGCTTCAGCTGTTTGGTTTGATTGCTGTGAAGAGTTTCAGCAAGTCTATACTCGTGCATGATCCAGTTAGTCTTCACGCCCTTGGGAGGCTTCCCCTTGTAGAACACCAGAGCCTTCTTAACGCCAATGTTCTCATTCCATCGGCTCGTTGTGATCGGTTTGTCTGTTCCGGTTGCTTTCCAGTAGCCAGACCCTGCAGACCGGTTCGGCCGGACTCCATTGGGGTACTTGCGGTCACGGGGGGTGAAGAAATACCATTCCCTCTCCCCAAACTTAGCTTTAGCTGATCACACAAAACAGGCATTTTTAGCAAGTTTAGATCTCCAGCACATCTAATGAATGACATCCAAGCGAATGATAACTTGAAGAGCAGAGCTTACCTGGGAGATCCCATGGGTTGAACTTGTATATGTTGATGTCAGCGATTATGGCGACAGGGCAGGGAGCTGATGCTGCTCGCTTGCAGAGGTAATCAAGGATGAGCTCCTCGTCGGTAGGGTGGAAGCGGAAGCCAGGCGGGAGTGAAGGTGAGGTGTTCGACATGGTGTAGATGGAAGAGTGGCAGGCCTCCCTGTTTCAAAGTAAGCGGGGAGGATGGTTGCAGAAGTTGAAGGGAAAGGAGAGCGGATGGCCGTTTTATGCGGTTTGGGGTTTGGGACATGGGTGGTGTTTTGAAAATAAGTTAGGGGTAAAATCGTCTTCTTAAGTTTCATTCATGGACTGGACCGTTCGGCCTTCGTATTGCATGGACTGGATCGGAATTGACCCGGATGTTGAGGACGTCAGCAGTAGTGAGATTTTTTTTAAACACGTGTCGTGTTAAGGATGTAGGTTTCTGTGGGCCCAGTGAGGTTTGCCGGCGGAGAATTTTAGACACGTGTCCCGTTGAGGATGTAAGTTCCTGTGGGCCCAGTGAGGTTTGGCGGCGGCGTATGCGTTGTGCGGCGATCTGAATGAAGGGAATTTGGTGTAACTATTATGGCCGTCTGATTACTGATGGAAGGAGCACGGCGGACAACGTTAGAGATTCCTTACGTCGTGCCGCTGGACACGCTATTGAGAAAACGAACTGGTGCGGATCATCCGAGGAACGCACCGTCTGATTGGATTGATTCTAGTTGCGGGGCCCACGCCAAGTTTTCATGAATGACTAAAATTATCAAATTATATCTGACGTCATAAATGGATGAGAGGACTTGCATTTAAGATCACCCAATTCATTTACATTTTAGTCCCTCATTCCAAAATTTTAATATTTACAAACACAGCATTTAGTATAGCACAAATCACTAGTGAAATCTACATTTCCATATATACCTAAAATGAAAAATGAAAGCTTTGAAAGACCGCAACCAATTAGTCCGGCTAAGACACACAGACACACACACACACACACACACATATATATTAAAAGGAGCCAAAGACTATTATACGAGCATCCAACCACCCCTAATGTGCCTAAAATTCGAATATCACTCCTTAAAGTCAACTGTGTCAGAAGGGATTTGAACCCTCGACCAGAGGAATCTTATATCGTGAATGCCACCAACAGGTCGCGGTACCTGACACACAGACACATAAGAAATATCTTATATATATATATATATATGCGAATGAGGTTCTCAAGTTTTAGACACCCACATGATATGAACTCCATGAAGAATTGTTGTAGAGGGAAGTTAGGAATCATGATGAAAGATGCATTGACATAAGCTAAGTAACATCAATAGATGAAGATAGAAAGTTGCAATAAGAACTTGTTTGCAAAGAATATGATGATTAAAAAAAAATTTTGCCAGCAATTTATTGAAAAATGTCATTGGTGGGATTATCGAAGTTTGAAATAGAAAATTTGTTCATAATACTTTCAACTAAATTAATTTAGTGATAGATTTATTTAAAAAACTAAATGGAGTTGATTCACAATATAGTTGACGAAACCTATTCAAGTTTGTACTGAAACATATACTATATATTTGCAATAATATGAGCATAAGCACATAGTTGAATAATTTTAACTTGAGAGCGCGTTAAGAAGTCTAGTTTTAGTGGCTTGGTTCAGTTATACTTTAAGAGAAAATTTATCATCAAGGAAATACAAACATATAATTGCATAATCTTCATATAATTGGGAATATTCATTTATTAAATATACTTTATACTTTAATTTTTTCTTATTAGGCCATTTAAATAGATCAGATTCCTATTCCATTTTGCATGTAAATTTTTTTTTTATAATTGTGCTTGTTCTTTGTCGAATGCATTTATAAATACAATAAGTTTTATTCAAATTAATTTAAATATCTCAGGGTTATTAAATATAAGCTTTTATTATATCTAAGTAAACTTATTTAGCATGATATTGAAATAATGTTGAAAAAATAAATTAAAAGCTTATTTGATAAATATTTATCAAAACCTATTCATGTCATATTTTAGGTTGCCTTTTTTTTTTGTTTACAGTTGTATGATATAACAAACAAGAAAAAAAAACTCAAAACCTTTTGAAGTATTTAGCTTATTTAATGGGTTAAGCTTATATTTATCGAAGTAAAAAAAATCTACAAAAAATGATGAATTATCTAACATTGCACAAATTACTTTTATAAAAAATTGTAATACGATCAACTAGTATCTTTACTGATCGTTATTCTTTTCTTTTTTTTTTCCTAATTTTAAAAGAAAACAAGTTAGACCTCTTAAAATAGTTCACATATCGAATTAAAAAATACATTTTTATTCCTTATGATTAAAACTTATCCATCTGGCTAAATGATAGGCATCCATTGAACTTAGATGTAAACTAACATCAAATTTTTACAGTTGATTTTGATTTTGTTAGGGTAAGATTTTAGTTAGCAAAATGATTGAATTAAGAATAGCATAACTTTTAGCACTATAACTCAGAACTATCATAGGAACATAAGAATGGTCATAATAATTGACCTAAGAATGACATAATTTTGACTTGAGAATGTCATAGAAACTTGTTTAACTCAAGGCACTTATCTTGTACTGAAAGCTCAAATATCAACGTTGTTAACAACTGAAGGTTTTGATTCATTCTTACATATTCAAACCTCACATTACTCTAGATTTGTTATAGATCCAAATGGAACAATTACCGAAAATCAAGATTATGTTATCTGACAAATGGTGGCCAAAAACATAGCAGCGGTAATTTTTTCCACCATTTCACATTCTATACTTCTATACATACTCCATCTATCCACGAGAGCTGAAATTTGGTTGGCCTTGGAAAGAAGATTCCATGCCTCAAACAAATCTCTGGTTTTTCAATTATAGAACGGATTTCACAATACTACAATGGTATCAAGCACCATGACCCAATATCTAATCATGGTTCAAAATCTGGTATATAACATTATTGTTGTAGGATCCAAAGTGGACATAGAGGATAATCTTCTACACTATAAATGGCTTACCACCTAGTTATTAAGGCTTCAAGACACCCATGCACATAAATCTACAACCTATCTCGCTCAAAGATTTATATCATGTCCTTCATAGTGAAGAATGCAACAATGCTTAAGAATATACAAGAGTTACACAACAGATAATAATGATAACTTTCAAAAATAAACGAAGTTATAGCAATCCAAGAAATTTCAACAGGAACAACAACATCTCAAAACCATGCAAACAACAACATACAAAACTCAAGATCTCTAGTAACCTGTCAAATATGCAACAAGCGTGGCTACTTGGCAAGCCAATGCTGACACAAAATGAATCTCCAATATAAATCACCCACAACTTCTTTTCTGATAACATTTATAACACAAGCACCGACTTAGTCACAAGATTAGATTCTCGACACTAGGGCACAACTCACCCCACACCCCATAATGAACTTATCTAAACCTCCCAGCCCTATAAGGGATCAAAACAAGTTATGGTTAGTAATGGAAAAAACTCTGACATAACACATGTGGGTGATGATATTTTACCCGCACCTGATTGTCATTTAAAGCTTTCCCAATTATAAAGTGTACCACAATTATCTTAAAATTTAAAATTGGTTCATAAAATAGCTAAAGATAACAATTCCAAAATTTATTTTGATGTTAATAAGTTTCAGATTCATGGTTCCAACACCAAGAAGGTTCTCCTAGTTGGTCCTGCTGATCAAGGGCTTTACCCCATAAGTGTCTTACAATCTACAATCAACTAAAATGTTTGACATTAAAGACTCGGACACCCACACAATAAAGTTTTTTATATGATTTCACATGCTCATCCACATCTACATATTCTCTCCATGTACTTCAAAATGTTCAAAGTGTTACCAAAATAAAAGTCCAAAATTACCTTTCAGTAATAACAGTACAACTTATCTAAAATTAGAAATGATATTTTCTGACATTTACTGGCCTTTTCCCCATCCATCGATAGAAGAATACAAATATTATGTCATATTCATATATGCTTTTTCCCATTACTATTGGCACATTCCTTTACATCACAATTTTGAAACTGCTGCTTAATTCATATATTTGCATACACTTTTACGAATTCACTTTCACATAAATATAAAATTCCTTTGCTAAGCTGGTGGAGGAGAATATATGTTAAATGAGCTCAATGTTTATATGCAAGATAACGACATTCAACACCAATATAGTTGTCCTTACATCCCAAAGTAAAAGGACTTTGCTGAATGAAAACACCATCACATTATTGAAACTGCTCGCATCCTTTTGAACTCTTCTAGCCTACCCATCAATCCTTAGACATGTTTTGTCTGCTACATACCTTATCAGTAAACTTCTTGCTAGTAAAACCCAGAATAAATCACCTTTCCAACTCCTATACTAGCAAACACCTGAATATTAACACTTAGGAACCTTTGGTTTTCTGTGTTACCCAAGGCAACATCATCATATACCACACAAAATTTCGGCCAAAACTCCCCAATGCAAATTTGTGGGAAATGTTTTTATATTCAGGATAAGAATTTTTTTTTCCTCGTTATGTAAAATTCTTTGAAGATAACATTCGTGTTAAAATTTCTGTTATCACTCCTCTCTCTTCAGCTTCACCGCTCAATTTCCCTCCTACCTTACTTATTCCTACTTCCACCATTGCCTCCACTTCTTTTCCTTCATTACTTAATCACCCTATCTCAATCCTTCCCATAATTCCTCTCAACACTCAACAACTATACATTCTCACCGCCCTCGCTCAACCTTAGATTGTTCCTAGATTCATTTACCCATGCACACACAACATACCATGGTTTAAAAACAAAAAGAATTTTTGAACTTCAACATAACACATGCTTTAAATGAACCAACCACTTACATTTAAGCAAGGCAATACTCTCAATGGCATAATGCCATGTCCGAGAAATTTCAGGCTCTCCAATAACATGGCACTTAGGAACTTGTTCCTCCTCCTAAAAATCAAAATATTTTGGGATGTTAGTGGACATTTAAAATAAAGCTTCATGATTATGAGAGAATTGCAAGACATAAAGCTTGCTTGGTTGCTCAAGGATATTCTTAAGAGCAAGGGATAAAATGACTACCGGGAGACATTTGGACTCATAGCAAAGTTTCTCAAAATCAAATTTCTTATAGCTT